TATATATATATATATATATATATATATATATATATATATATATATATATATATATGTACCATGCCTCTTCTATTAAAAACCAAACGTTGTATTGCGTGTTTTCCGATATCTACGACCTATCCGCGATCCGAATCTAGGAAGCTAAGACAGCGCGCGCGTTCCGGGATCCGATTTAACGTTCCAAGTGCATCGTTTGTTTGTCCAAGTATTTTCCATCGCGCTCGCAATTCCCGCGATTGCCAGGCGATCGGGAGTACGTGCTCCGTGTATTTATATCCTCGTGTTCCCAGGACCCACGGGAGTTACGAATCTGTGGAGAATAATTTGACGATTCGCACGCATATATATTGATGACGCGCGTTTTCGCATCTGCATAAGTCTCGACCGTCTCTCGTCGCGATGCGTTCCGAGATACTTAAACGCAGACCGACATACTGCGTGATTTCCTCTTTCGCTTTTCGCCATCCCCTCTCGTCCCGTTATAGCCTTCTGAAAATCCACAATATCGATTACGCGCCGTCTTTGTGGCGGCAACGAGCGTGCCGCACGTTCCAGAGCGACGTGCAAAAAAAATGGAAGGGAAGAGGGAGCGGATGGAAAATAAAATTCGCGGCGCGGCGAGCACGCGGCAGTCGTTTTCGCGTTTTCACGTGGGCGAATATCGATTAATCGGATTCCCGTGAAGGCCTCTCTTCTGTCGGTCAGGTCAAGCTGATGAACACGGATGAAGGCGCGGCGCGAACATTCCAAGCGGTAACCTTTGACGTCCCGCTTTATGACGAGCAGGATTCACTCGCGTCGGAAAGTACGGGCCGGATTTCTTACGAGTTTGCAGACAAAATTATATACCATAACATCACGCGCGGATATGAAGACGCGATTAAGGACGTGTAGGAGATGACATCGCAACAGAACCAGCGTTTCGTCGTAACAGAGTCGAAGACATTTTCATTTCGAAATGATGGTTCTTTAAAAAAAATTAATTTAAGAAAATCGCCACTTAAGAAGCGAAAATTAAAAAATTTACAGAAAGCGGATTTAAGAGAGAAAGAAAGAGAGAGATAATCAGCTTTAGTTCTGAGATATTCAATTGACTAGCGGTGTTGGACGCGAGTAATCATGCGACTGTAATCCAATGCTGAGCCAATATTGTTCATCGGGCCGATATCGATAATTCGGCAATCTGGTAATAGCCCGACGCAGAGGCCGATTGTGAAATCCTATATCGGCAATTAATTCACGCGAGTGAAAGGAAATGAGAGTGTGAGAGAGAAAAAAAGAAGAAAGAACAATGAAATTGAGCGATAACGCGTTCGCGCGACCACGGTTACGTAATACCGCGCGTTTATCTATTCATCGAACTCACATCGAGTCCCCTATTTTCTACGCGCTCGCGAGCGCGATGACATTATCGGCCCTCGTTACACGCGCCCATCACGTCCCGCCGAACGCCCGTTACAATCCATTGTCACGAGTATCATGACGTAGCATATCCGCGCAGATCCACCGGGATAATGTTCGGACAAAGCCAGACGAGAGAGCGAGAGAAAGCGACAGAGAGAGAGAGAGAGAGAGAGCTCCCTCGGTCGCAGCCAATCGTAGAACAATCTCAGGCTCAAAGCAGAACGCCGGGCCAGCGGAGACTACACGGGGGAAGAGATTTGGGGAAAGGTTAACGTCTGTGCCGAGAGAGTAGTGATGCGCCCGGTTGCAGGGTGCGTTAACCCTTGACTCGCCTTTGACCCTACGCCGCCGAGAAAGGCGGTACCGAAAGGAGTAAGCTCGGCTGTTGCCGTCGGATAGCCATCCTCCGTTGCACCCGAGAGCGGCAGAGCACACAAGGGTATAGGATGACTTCGGTGTCAAAGGAGCAAGAAGCACGACTTTCGCCGTGCGACCTCACGGGAGGTGGAGGCACGTGGACACGATTCCATCATCGCCATTTGTCGTTTCGAGCGCGAAGGATTAGCAGAGTGCGTGAGAATGTGCGAACTTTTCGCGCGGTCGCATATGAAACTTTGGGAAAATGTGTTTTATTTCATCACTAACCGGTACTTTATTTAAAACACACGGAGGGAATATCATAGCTTTTCTCTCGTAGAAATTTTTTTTCAATTTTACTATGTTTCTGATAGTGCGGGAATAGATTTTTCAGTAAGGTCTCTATTTTGTCAATTTTAGAAAGTAACAATTTTTTAAAATTTTTTAACATTTTAATACCTAAAATATAAATGGTATATATAAAATATATATACCATTATATATATAAAAGTTATATATATAGTATATATATAAAATGAAAGGATATAGAGTCAATCCGAGACGAAATTTTGATATTACTTTGACACTCTTAAGAATAGTTTGCGCCTACTTAGAAGGTTTATAGTGTAGGTAAAACCTACTTTGACGATATTGATACTCATTAACTTCTCCTTTGAACCTTTAACTCTACCATGTCAAAATTTTGACGCTATTTTGACGCTCTTAAAAATAGTTTGAGCCTACTTAGCCGAGTCAAAATTTTGACCCTATGTTGAACCTTAAATTCTGTACCGCAGTAGGAACTAAGATAGCAAAGTAGATTTAATTCTAATAATATAATTTATCCCTACTTTGATTCTGATGATGTCTGAAATTTCCGCTTTCTTTAGCATTAGATTGTATAACAGTAGGATCTTAGGAAGCAAAGTAGGTTTAGTTGCGAACCTCTATTGAAGCTTTAGTTCCTACATAGAATATATGTATTTTATAGAATATATTTTATAGAAATATTAAAAAAAATATTAATAAATAACAAAACAGAAACGTCAAATAGCATACAAAATATACATTTTATCTGTTGCATATATTTCAGACATCAGGATCAAAGTAGGAGTAAATTATATCATTAGAATTAAATCTACTTTGCTATCTTAGCTTCTATTGCAGTGTAGAATTTCAAGGTTCAACATAGAATCAAAATTTTAACTCGAAAATGAGTGTCAATATCGTCAAAATAGATTTCACTTAGGTTGTAGATTATCTAAATAGGCTCAAACTATTTTTAAAAGCGACAAAGTAACGTTAAAATTTTGACAAGATATAGTTAAAGGTTCAAAAGAGAAGTTAATGAATATCAATATCGTCAAAGTAGGTTTTACCTATAAACCATTTAAGTAGACGCAAACTATCCTTAAGAGCGTCAAAGTAGCATCAAAATTTCGGCTCGGGTAGATAATCTACAACTTAGGTGAAACCTATTTTGACGCTCATTTCCGAGTCGAAATTTTGAACCTATATTGAACCTTGAATTCTACATCGTAGTAGGAGCTAAGATAGCAAAGTAGGTTTAATTTATTCCTACTTTGACCTTGATGATGTCTGAAATATATGCAACAAATAAAATATATATTTTGTATGCTATTTGGCGTTTGTTTTGTTATTTATTAAAATTTTTAAATATTTCTATAAAATATATATATTCTATGTAGAAGCTAAAGCTTCAATAGAGGTTCGCAACTAAATCTACTTTGCTTTCTAAGATCTAACTATTATATTATAATCTAAACTATTATATTATTATCTAACTATTATACAATATATTTTGACATTAAAGAAAGCGAAAACGGAAATTTCAGACATCATCAGGGTCAAAGTAGGAGTAAATTATATCATTAGAATTAAATCTACTTCGCCATCTTAGCTCCTACTGCGGTAGAATTTAAGATTCAATATAGGATCAAAATTTCGACTCGGGAAGTACTGTAGATTAATCTATCTATTAATCGACTGCAATATTTCACATAGCAACTTTTACTATAAAATCCTCTTCGTACAATTATAAATTCTCTTTATACCCGAGTCGAATCATCACATATCCTCCAATCCGGAGGAATCGGAGAGGAGACTCGGGATTCGGAATTAAAGATCCGAGACTACGGAATTCAGAGCGCCAAAGCACAATAATTCCGGTGTCAAAGGTGCGAGACACCTGCGAGCGCGCGACGGATATTCCAGTGGACGATGCTCTCTCTCTATTGCCCTTCAAGGAGGAACTTCGTCGCTCGTATGCAGATGAATGGAGATACGACGCGGCTGCTTGCATATCCACTTTGCCTTTCACGTTTCGCGGCGCGATCAGATATCGATTCTCGACGCGAATCGATGACACGTAATTATTTTAAAGATTCTAGTCACTGAGAGAGCAAAATTACATTAACTCAATTGTCCTTCAGAAGACGGTGCTAAGAAGCGAGATACGCACACTTGACGTCATTTTCAAAAATATACCTTTAAAAACGCGAAAATTACTTTAAAAAACTGTAAAAAAAATTGTTAAAGGAGCAGAGAAACGTGTTCCCAAAATGTTTCCTTTAAGGCCTCTGGCCCCTCGCAATATCTATTTCTTCTTAATAACGTCAGAAGCGAGAAAATGCATGCTAAAAATTCTTACGAAATACAAATATGAATTACAATCGAAATAAAAATATATATCCATAAAGTAACACTTGCAATCGATTAAACAAATTTGTAAGATATTCCGTGCACTCCCCTTTTGCTCTAACAATCAATAATTTATTGTAAATTAATCTGAATAAAAATAGGCAAAGAAATAGGTTGAAGAAGATGAATTGTACGTCGCGTTAATTTACGACAAATTATTGATAGTTAGAGAAAAGGGGAATGCACGCAATATCTTACAAATTTGTTTAATTGATTGCAAATATTACTTTATGGATGTATATTTTTATTTTAATGTATTTCGCAAGAATTTTTAGCATACATTTTTTCGCTTCTGACGTCATTAAAAAGAGATAGACAATGCGAGGGGCCAGGAGCCTTAAATGGACGATTAATCTCATCAAGATAAGCAGCGAAAGAACGGCGCCTTCCACTACACCTGGT